AGGTAGTCGGCCCGAAGCGAGCTCGGGACGGATGGTCATGGCTATCCGGTCAGGCACCTTGAGCGAGAAGTGGATCGGACTTTTGATAGTAAGCCTTGGGATTCGCTCTATACGATGTCTAAAACCTGGGCACAGTCGACTTGTGGGCGGCCAAGACTCAACGACCTCGAGACATTGTTGTATAGCGGAGTCTCTCGGAGCCGCACTGGGCGGTGGGTATCTTGCTTAGGCCATGCTCGAATTTGTTCCAATCATCTATCGTTGGGAATGAAGACAGTCGGCCGAGGCCAAGTCCAGGCGCGATAATCCTTTCCGAAGGCGGGCCGGTCGCTCAAAACGCTGCACTAGACGTCGTGGGAGCAGGATGTACGTAAGCAGATTCGAGTGCAGGTATAGCGAGACGTGTCGGGCGATCTTAACGCTGGCTGCTCTTCGCGATGGAAAAGTGAAGTATTCGAGGACACGTGACGGTGCGGCTCGAAGGATGCAGGGGTCGGCTCGCTTATCTGACATCGATCTGAACTCTCCATGTTCCAGGGACCATCTGCGTCATCGATCGGTGCTAAAGGGACGCGACAGCTGAACGCGTCGAACTAACACGGCAATGGCTTCATCAAATCCTGTTTCAGGAGGTTATCCTCATCTCGCCCATTCTGCGGTTCCACGAAACGCGTATGCTGCTCGCGCGTCCGAGGCTCCTGTTGTCCCTCAAACCCTTTCTACGCTTACACTCATCCTTCCCCGCGAAGACACTAGCCACGATGCCACCGAAACGTAAGGCGAGCATACCTGCAAATGCGGCATCCGCGAAGAACTACACCGACGTGTCCGGCGACGCTCCCAACAAGCGCTCGCGCATCGCCAAACCTCTCCCAAAAGCCACGTCGAAAGACGCGCCCCCCGTAGACTCTATAGCCAAGAACACCGAGAATGGAGCGCCTGGAGAGGCCGTGAAGAAGGAGGAAGAAGGCTTCGACCATTCGAGACCAGAAGAGAGAGCCGGCATAGTCGATCGACGATACTATCCTGCTGAGATGAGCAATGAACGATGCGCATTGTACAATCAGAATGAGGTACCGCGCCCGATCGAGATTCTGAACAAGACCTTGGAGGACACAAAGGACAAAAGAAAAGCTATCAGAGAAGGGAAGAAAGCGCAACATGGCCACGCCGTGGTACACTGGTTCAAGAGGGATCTGCGGATAGGAGATAATACTGGCTTGTCGCAAGCAGCAGAATTGGCGGAAAAGAAGGGGGTGGGTCTGATAGGCGTTTGGTTCATGAGCCCGCAAGACTGGGAAGCTCATCTGGTCAGCCCGCCAAAATGTCATTTCGAATTGCGCTCTGTGGAGACACTCAAGAAGGAGCTCGAAGAACTGAATATCCCCCTCTACATCGAAACGATTCCCGAACGAAAGAACGTGACAAAGCGGTTGGTGGAGTTGGCAGAGGAATGGAATGCGAAGAACGTCTTCTGCAACTTGGAATACGAACCTGACGAGCTTCGGCGGGAGGAGCGCTTGGTACGCATGATGCTGGAGAAAGGCATCAACTTCGAGCCGCACCACGACGACTGCGTGGTACCGCCCGGCAGTCTCAAAACAGGAGGTGGAAAGCAATATGCGATGTACAGCCCTTGGTTCCGATCATGGGTTGCACATCTGCATGAGCATCCACATCTTATGAGCGAGCGCCCCATGCCCGATCGCAATCCTCCAGCCTTCCGCAAGAAATTCACTCAGCTCTTCGACACGAAAATCCCCGATCTACCAGAGTGCAAAGCGTTGACAGCAGAAGAGAAGGAACGGTTCCAGCAACTGTGGCCCGCGGGTGAGGCCGCTGCTATGGATCGCCTCGAGCGCTTCTTGGAAGAAAAGGTGGTAAAATACAAGGACACGCGCAACTTTCCCGCGATGAACAGCACCGCACGCGTGAGCGTGCATCACGCTGCTGGCACGCTGGCGGCACGAACCAGTATACGTATGGCTCGAGACGTCAACAGCGCGAAGAGACTCGACGGAGGGAAGGATGGCGTCAAAGGCTGGTTGGGAGAAGTCGCATGGCGGGACTTCTATCGGCATGTACTCGTACACTGGCCCTACGTTTGGTATGCTCGACCAATACCCTCTATACCATGAAGATACTAACACAACCCCAGCATGAACAAGCCCTTCAAATTCGAATACACAAACATCGAATGGGAATACAACGACGCGCACTTCCAAGCCTGGACGCAAGGCCAGACCGGCTACCCCATTGTCGACGCCGCAATGCGCTGCCTCAACCACACAGGCTACATGCACAATCGCCTCCGCATGATAACCGCCTCCTTCCTCGCGAAACACCTCCTCCTCGACTGGCGCCTCGGCGAACAATACTTCATCACGCACCTCATCGACGGCGATTTCGCGTCCAACAACGGCGGCTGGGGCTTCAGTGCATCGACAGGTGTAGATCCACAACCGTACTTTAGGATCTTCAACCCGTGGACACAGTCGGAGAGGTTCGATGAGCAGGGCGAGTTTATCAAGCTGTGGCTACCGGAGCTGGCAGAGGTCGAGGGGGCGGCTATACATAATCCGTATGCGGCGGGTGGAAAGGCCGCGCAGATTGCGAAGGCCAAGGGCTATCCCGAGCCGGTTGTTGAGCATAAGTTTGCGAGGGAGAGGTGCTTGGCTAGGTATAAGGCTGGCATTGGGAGGAACACTGCGTGAAGAGTTGTTCATGAGATGTTGAGGCATGAATGGCTTTAATTCAGTTGTAGCGTTTGCTTGGGCACCGTTCATTCATCTCTATTCGACATAGTTGTATCTTCCGCAATCTATACGACTTATACGCAAGGAAAGTCGAGTCGGACATTCGGTCGTTGGATCTATTCGACCATGTGTTGAAGTGTGCGGGAACAGGTTGCTCTCATATGAGGAGTTTCGCAGCACCAAAAACTTCAGAAGACATGTGCATTGCGATCCGTTACTGAGATCAGTCATATCGCCCCTTTTTGTGGTAGGGATCTGCAGTGCGGGGCTAATGCGCGACAGTCGGCCCGAGCAATTCGACCAGATCGCTTTTGTCGCGTTCCCCATCTTCCTTCTCGCAATAACGCAGGAACAGTAAACACGGCTGTTGTCGATTGGAACTGGCGTCATTATTGAATCCCTACATGGTTACTTACGTTACCGCCGCATCAGCATTGATCAGCTTTTCTGCAGGATCTCACGTGAAAGCTTCCTCCGTCCCCCTCAGGAGTTGACCTCGAGGAACCGCGACCAGCTATGGAACAGCCAAAATGTACCAACTTCGTCAAGCCCAAACCAATAGAACCCGCAGAGAGACCCTGGCGGCTCCTTGACAGTGGTCAAACGGTGCCAATGCCCTATGGAGAATTTCACAAAGAGACATTTGGAAAAGTCAAGTCAATAATGGCCGACTATGGCATGCTGAACGCCATCTTGATAAGATCCGAGGGCGTTATACGGAAGAGATGGACAAAGAAGACGCGTACTCAACGTAAAGCTATTCTTGAACGATCATGGCACACGCAAATGCCACACCAGCATCGCCCAGACCTTCGCGACTACTACAGAGTCGAAAGACGAGAGTTCAGCGAGGCTTCCACTTCCACGATCAGAGAAGATGTATACAAATGGCCATATATCAATACAGAGGACCTCGTGACTCCAACACATGTCTTACAGCTTCTGAACTCTCGCGGACGGTATACACCCAACAATTTTGCCGAGATGGATTGGCAAAGCTCAGAGCTCGGTCGCAACATCAATGTTATCAAGGTGCGTCCGATATATTACGACCCAAACGACGAAGGCCAACACAAAGCTATATTGGAAGACGAATCCAACGGCAAGGAACCCGAAGATGGGGAAGTTTCACGTAGTTCGGAAAATGAGACAGTACGCGAATGGCAAGATAAATACAAACCCAGCGAATGGGGTTACTATCTGATGATGCATCCTACTGATCTACAAGAATACGGGCTTCCGGTCAAGCTTCCGGTCGCTCTGGAATCTCAAAAACACGTGAGGCGCGCGAGCGAGGCTCTTATCGTCCTACAGATACAGCAGCCTCTGATGGCCTTCCTCGTCAAGATCTGCCTTGAGCTACTTCCCGACGTAGAAGGTGGTCTGGACGGGTTCAAGGCCTTCTTCCAAGCCCCCGAACAACCCGAGCCCCCCGAAATAAGAACGACAAAAGAGGATGGATGGGACTCGGCTTTCGCACTAGCCCAAGACATTCCATATACCGCCCCACAATGGGAAGACTTTCTCAAAATCATGTCCTCTATAGCGGCTAGAATACACGAGTGGAAGGACCATGCCTGGGCTATGCGCGATGATCCATCCTATTTCACTAATGCTGTTAGCGAGTTCTGTAAGTGCGAGGCGACGTGAGGAGCATCGATTGAAGCACGCTGACCCGATGCATGTAGATGAACACAGCCCTACACATGTATTGGACAGGAAGGGAAGGAAAAGCCCCCATCTTACTGATCCAGCCCTTCAAAAAGACTTTTGGCACATTACGATATACTCGATCATCATGGATTATTACGAGAATCTTGTCATGTGGCATGCTGCACAAGCTGCTCTACACAAGGTTGCTCGGCTGCTGTTGACACGGTTGGAGAAACAAGAAGGGCATGATGCATGGGTAGAGGCTGTCGCGGACTTGAAAGATTTACTTGATATGCGCCTTATCAAAAGCCTAGCTTCACGGTTGCCGAGTTGCTTCATTGGCTCACCACCGGTGCGCGGCATGTTCGTACGTGACCATGCAGTTCCAGAGGAATTACCCCTGCTCAGAGACCCGAGCTCTTTTGGGAAAGACTATTTGTTATGGCTGTGTTCCTTGCTTTGGTCTGAGGAAGGCCTTGGGGTTCCTCAAATTGTAGTCAGGGAAATGGCTCGAGTTATACAACAGGACAAGGACCAGAAGTACAGAATCACACCCTTGGTCGCACAGGTCAGTCATTACCCATGTAAGAAATGCGTATGAGATAGCCACTGACCTCGTACACGTTGATAGCTCGTGTCAGACCTAGCTATTTGTTTTGAACTACGAGCTCGCCTGCGCCTGGTGTGCCCACAAGCTTTCAAACCTGATGAGCAGTACTGTACCGTTGGAGCCGACCGCGACTATCACGAGATAGTCATGGAGGTTTCTGTGAAAGAACTAAACGTGATCTTAGACCCGGAATGCGGTCCAGAATACGATGCCAAACGCCGATATGATTTTCTCCTTCTTGGTGAGCTCGGGCATCCAAAGACAATGCCGTACCCTGTCGGCAAGCGAAGAACCAAAGAGAACGTAGAGGTTATGCAGGCTACTGAACGACGGCTCGATGAGCTTTGGAGCAAGTTCGATGCTCACGTGCAGAAGTATTTGAAGAAAATACACCTCGAGGCTCTTGAATCCCTAGCGCCGTCAAGAGGACAAATACAACGGACGCCAGACTGGATAGAACCGGCGAAACCTTCCAACAAAGCGAAGAAAGATGCTGCCCTGCAGGAATACATTACGCCTCTCATACCGGAGCAGCAGCCCGACCCTGTAGACCTCCCAATTCGGAGTGAGAAGCGCAAGACCAGGGGGATTGCGAATGATCCTTCCACTGAGCCTGTCGAAGTCGCAGCAGACTTGCAGCCAGTCGCTTCTGAGGAAACAAACACTCCGCCTACACCGCGCTTCACCGTTGGGAAAAAGACACAGCACACATTCTCGACTATATTCTTCCAGCCGTCTGCAAGCTCGCATCCCGGTGAAGTCCCATGGACTGAATTCCTCTCAGCTATGAACACGATTGGCTTCTCACCCGAGAAGGTGTATGGCTCTGTATGGCGCTTCACACCGAGAGAGGGGGGTGTTATTACGGCAAGGCAGCCAATCAATTTCCACGAGCCGCATCCTGAGGGAAAATTGAGGTTTGAGGTAGCAAGGAATTACGGGAGGAGATTGACGAGGAACTATGGTATCGATGGTAGCAGCTTCATTGTCGCGTAACTGTGTGTGTGCGGATTGCTACAAGACAATGTGAGGAGGTGACAGCATGGGTTTAAGGTAGCCTAGTGTTTACCAGTGTGGCTTCAGTGCGCTTTCCTAGAGACAATAGACCCGTTTTGTGTATTCATCAACGACGAGCCCATGAGTAAGCGTGGAGATCGTCAGTGCGTGAGCAAGCACTATTTCAACGACTATGAAAGGCATGTCTACCCCTAGCCTGCTCAGTCTGCTGAAGAACGAGGGGCGTGGCCTCGATCTAGTCTTCCCGCCGTACTGTGGGTTTCTGTTGACGATACTCCTGGATCCTTGTCTCCATATCACCGTCCCATGGCAGCCCAAGTTTCTCAGCCAGCGTCTTTCGAAACCGTTTGTTCTCCTGCCCTGGCTTGTGTAATCCACAGAAATTTATAGTTTCAAGATAAACATCCATCAATGGCTTGTCATAATCAGGCTCAATGCCGCCGTCCTGACAGTCAGAGCTGATACCTAGCATCGCATAGATGAGATCGCGTGGTTCGGAAGTCTTGAGACCTCTGTGGCATGCCAGTCGCAACCATGTTATTAGAGGACTTGAGTCCATAGGCAGCCGTTTTCGTGTGATAAGAGCGTTGGCAGCACTCTGCCTAATTGTGGCAGATATCTCTTTGCCACACAGACTATCATCTCGTGTCATTAAACCAAGGATAAGATCGAATCTTTCGTAGTTTAGAAGATCTTCCCAACTAGATATGATGTAAATCTTGCCACCCAGGAACACCTCTTGTTGGACCCAAACGCGGTTCCAGTATGATTTCTGACACAGCTCGATAATTGCAGAATAGATGGTGTCATTCCATACTGGTTCTATCCCCATGTAAATCCCATCCAATGGATTGTTGATCTCTTCGATAATATGTGCGATATGACTGTCAGTCATACCAAGCCAAATTAGCACCTTGGTGGCTCGACGATAGATCATACCCATGAGCTCGACTTGATGATTTCTCTCTCGCGTGTCGGACTGGTTAATACTCAGTGCATCAATCCAAATTCGAAGATCGTAGTGTTGTCTTTCTTCGCGTCTAAAAGTAAGCAACGCGTCAAACAGGTTGCGTCGCACAGTAAAGAAATGGCCATTGAGGAGAATAGCCGGATCGTCATCGGCGGGTGAGCCCCATTCGTAAGACAAAGCTTCATAGGAGACCTCGTTCATTCGGATATGTTCGATATCGCACTCGATGCTCTCGCTCATATCGAATGGCTCAGGTCGTCTCGCACTCCGGGGAGTATCGTCAACATAAGAGCTTGCTGACTCAGCGGGTCTAATGCGGATTACTCGAATTGTGTCAGGTGTTTCCAGAAGCTGGTATTCAAATGGTGCCAGTTTTGCGCACCATTCTCGAAGCCCTACGAGCCTAAGCTTAGCCAGTGTTTCTTGTTATCAAAAGCATGTATTACATCTTGTTTCCGCTTCCGAGCGTTCTTTCCTCAGTTTCCTCAGCTGCAGTCTACCACGCATAGTTCTGATTGCGCGCATCCGAACGATGTAGCCGTCTGAACTGCCTAAGTATTGAGACCAGAGCAGTCGAACGCTTTCCTTTCCGTTGATTCTGGCCACGAAGCTGAGAGCTGGGAGAACGCATATACTATCGACGTGGTGTAGCGCTGGATAGAAGCTATGAGGTGTGAGAGTGCCCGTCTCTCAGTGTCGCACGGAACAAACTCCCTGTAGTGAGATTGCGGTAGTAAGCTTCCCGAAGGACGTATCGATGTCAGACGAGAGGGGTGGCTTCTAAGGTTCAGCTGGATGCTGCCCAGGTGAGCCAAGAACCTCAGCTAACCGTATTTGTCCACGCTACTGCGGCCTGAAACCTCCACCCGCAGGAACGGCATCCTCTCTGCTGTCGGCTTTCGCGACTTGACGTCGGAAACAGATTCGCTCATAATTTTCGGTCGCGTACACGCATCAATTGACAGTTCCTGGGATGGGTTGAAGGTGGCCTATGCGCAAAGACTCTGCGTTGGAGCTGAGCGTTAGGCAGCCGCGCCCTGTGATCAAGCCACCTCTCATCGCATTTTGACGGCCATCCTCAAATGTGTTCAGGCATCCTCGAGGCTCCAAAACTACGCCACGCATACGTGATCCGGTAATTGTCATGACGCAGACTGGAAAGTGCGACACCTGTCGGCAGCGCAAGGTCAAGGTAAGACGCGTTTCAATCCCCGCAATCATGTTATCGCAAAGCGTTGCAAGTCGTTGCGGAATGAATATGTTCTTACTAATGGCTACCTAGTGTGACGAAGTGCGACCCAAATGCAGCGCATGCAGGAAGAAAGACAGACCATGTGCCTACTCCTACGGCAAAGCCTCAGCATTCGTCGTGCAGGATCCCAGACAGTTGACCAAACATGGAAGATCCAAGTCTGGCTCTGCCGTATATCCCTTGAACTCTCCTGACGAGGGCTCAAGCTCGTCATCAACAACCTCATTCGCAGCCGGCTCGTCCTCGTCAAATTCCTCAGACCTCTGCATCACTACCGAAAGGCACACCGACGATCGCCTAGGTTGCTTTCAAACCCTGGCACCGCGTTCAAGATCTAGGATGCAGCCGTCGAAGATGAGAGAATACCGGCAGAATCTTGCGCTTCAAGTACATCTCCAGAAGCTACGAGAAGAGAGTCCTCTCGCATCATATCAGCCATCCTCGCCCGAGACGACCCTGATCTCCCGATACGTTGGCGTGCTCGGACCAGAGCCCGCCGGTAGGCAGCCTTTTGAGGTCTTAGGGACCTGGATACAGTCTATTCCCTCGCGCATCGGGTCGAACAAGATGCTTGATTTGGCCGTTCAGTTCTTCGTCGATAGTCACGCTACGTATCGAGATGATATGCACTCGAAGCGCAAGGTCGCGAGAGCTTCAAAGGCTAAAGCGCTCAAGGAATTGCAGCTCGCCGTGATGAACACTGATAACAAGGTCACGTACGACATCCTGTTGGCTACGAAATTACACTACGCTGCTGAGGTTAGTCAGCCTGTCAGACGTCGACGTGTTTTACTGATCACATGCAGGCTCTTCTGGGGCTCGATACTATGTATTACGCGATTCATGCGTTCGGAATCGCCGAGCTGCTGAGGTCAGGTGCGGTGGCGGAAGTTGATGACGATCATTTCTGGAATTTGATCGACAATACCTATGTCGACGATGTGAGTACTGGTCGGTCTTGGGAGTTCGCTGCTGATGTCGAAAGGTTCACGAGGCGATGATGATGGGTCGGAAGTCAGTATACCACAACGACTTTTACCTGTCTGCTACAATTCCACCTCCGATCGATACAAGAGATGTCATGCTGTCGCCATCACAGAGAGCGTCGATGGCCGTCATGCACGTTTTCATTCAGTGCCCTTACGCGGTAGCATTGATCCGAGAAGCCATTTCGAACCCCGAGGACACGATCGCGCTTGCAATCGCCATGTCATATTTGGAGGGTCTGATGCAAATCAACGTGTCGCAGCACGTAGCTGAGCTCATTGAAACGACCGTGTCTGTGGTACCGATTCCACCGTCACCGGACGTCGCCGACCTAATGCCCGACACCCTCGAGTTCAATTCGGTACAAGACTTCATACTTTGCACCAGAAGCTGGATGTTACAGTCGCTCCTCTGCGGTCTTGCGGATACACTTTATCGATACTTCCCGACTGAGGCGGCGTTATCGCTACTCCCGTCGCCTCAGCAATTACGAATTATTGACGTTGATAGCGCACTCTGTCTCCAGAAGTCGCACAGATGGGCAGATTCCGTTTCCAAACATATCCCGCTTTTGACAATGCGCTTACACACTCCACTCCAGATGGCTATTGCCCCATGGCACCGCATGACGCGAGATCTTACATCCCAGCGCTCACCATCTGCCTCGCCAGGCACCCCCTTGGACGTGGCTGCGGAGCTCACACGCGCCAAGCGCATGCAAGCTTGGATAGTCAGCGAAACCAACAAGATACACAAGAACTGGAACGTCGCCACCGTCGACGAAGAAATCCTTATAGAAGCTCTAGAAGCTTTATCTGGAGAGAAGATGCCAGATTGGCTTCCAACGCGCGTACGATTCGTCCCCGAAGAAGGCGAAATGGCCCTACACATGGAATTCGAGAACAGAACAGGGACCTACTCCACTGGCAGAATCGATGTAAGCAAGGAGCCTCCGCGCAAACTGGCGATGCCGCCGCATCCTGGGGAAAAGGGACAAGAATGGCAGAGGAAGAATGTACATGTGGTGGAGCTTCCGCTTAGAGGAGGGCGGAATGAAAGACCGGTAGACTTCTTACATAGCACAGGAAGGAACCTGTGTACGACTTCAGGGTGGTGGCCTCAGTCACACGAAACATCACATAATAGCTAGGAGGTAGTCAAGTACAAAGCAATCTTCATTCTCATAACCACTGGGTATCGTGACAGCTACATCGCTCTCCTTCTTCACTCCTCACAGACCTCCTCTCCTTATGTCTTCTGCAACCTCCTCCTCACCCCCTCGTCCTACCGTCCCCAAATCTGTCGTATGCCACAACCGGCATCCTAATATCCCTTGTGTCCATCACCGGTATCCCCGTGGTACTCCTGCCACATGCCCGTGAGTTGCTGAGCGCCGCACTTTGCGCACTTGAACTGGTGCTGGAACTGCGGGTACGGGCTCCGCGGAACGTTGTGCACGATGTTGGCGGCGCAGCAAGAGGGATTGCAGCAGAAGTAGGTGTATGAGGAGGTTGGGGCTGGTGTGGTCATTGTTGTGGTTGCTGTTGAGGTGGTTGAAGGTGGTTTGTTGTGGTGGTGTGATGGGGCTTTGGGAGTTTGTGGTAATGTGGTGAAGTTGTGGTAGTGGGTCGTTGTTGGAAAGGGAATAGAGGATTGCGCTTGGAAATCGCGGTTTATATAGAAGGAGGGTGTGAGGCACAGCGATGGAGTGTGTTGGTGAATGGTGAATTGACTGAGACATACTGGGAGTGCTGTTGAGGCTGTTGCGTCGAGGACGGCGTCACCGCTGATGGACGCGTATACTGGCATTGTTATCTATCATTCACCTCTTAATTCGCCTTCTTCAGTTCCTGCTTCACCTCCTTAAGCACCTCACACCTCTTCGTATCCTTACTCCCACCGCGGCACGCAGGGCAGGTCCTACCATGCTGAATAAGAAAGAAATGCAACTTGAACTTCAGCTCCGGCGGGATCACCACATCCAAATGCAACTGAGTGTTCTCCCTACTAGCCTCCTTTGGCCTCCACCCCCATAAACCAGCAATGCGATAGACATGTGTGTCAACCGTGAACCTGTTCCTCTTCAAGCACCAGCCCATGACCACGAACGCAGACTTTGGGCCTACGTACTTGTAGCTCATGAGCTCTTTCATGGCGTCTTCGTCATTTGCTTCAAGGAGGTGGTCCAGGTTCCAGCGCCCATAGCGACGCTTCACTTCCTCGAGGATGGACATGATGATCTTGGTCTTTCTGACGTGCAGGCCGCCGCAGCGAATCGTTTCTTGTAACTTTTCCGACCCCCCGTTGTATATCTCTTTGTAAGCAAACACCGAGCCGTAGGTGTCTTTCATGCTGTCCATTGCGCGTTTCGCATTGTTCCAGCTCGTGGCTTGGCTGAGCACGGCGACGATGAGGGCGTCGAGGACGAATGGGATTGTCTCGGGTGTATTGGTGTCTTCGAATTCGGCTTCTACGGCGTCGTTGTGCAGTTTGTGAAGGATGTCGTAGGCTAGTTGGCACTCGCGGTTTGTGGGGTGGCCGAAGTCAGGGTATGGCGTGGATGTGGCGTGGGCGGACCAGGCTTTCCATTTCTTCTCTGCGCCAGCGTTGTCGTCGGCTGTGGGCTCCTCTGCTTTGACATTGCTGGCCTGGTCGTTTGACTTCTTCTTTTCTCCATCGCTGCTTTGCGCGATTCCGTCTCTCTTCGCGGAACGATTTGCTGCTCGGCTGTCGACGCGCTTGCTGAGCGTCTCTTCACCAGTCGACGAACCAGAGTGTCTTCTCTTCGTCGCACTGCTCGCGGTCTGTTGCGCAGTGCGTGTCGCCGCTCTAGCCGATCTTCTTAGAGCCATCCTGTAAATTATCATCAAGAAGAAATGCAGGTAGCAATTGTGTCAGACAATGTTGTAGACGCGCTTCCTCATGGAACAAGTTCGGCGGACGCGTTCGAGGTATATACTAATCAGCACGCTGACGTCTCCATCAGTCGCGGCCCTGGGCCCTTGCATAAACATGCGCTAGTCATCTCCATGATCGCGTCGGATTCCGCGGGCGCTGAGATCTAGATTCGCGAGATGCAGTGCGGAGGCGCGGTAGCGCATCGAAGGTTCGGCGATGAACCCATCTCGGCGATAGACCCAGCATTCGGAGATAGTCCCACACGCTAGTCTTGTCTTGTCAGCCATCACTGTCTGAGGAGCGATCGCTTTGGTAGAAGGGCATACGTTATGCTTAATTGTGTACTATTGACTGTACAGCATAGCATCTCTGACATTATCTCGAGTTGCCTACGTTTATACAACAAAATCCTTATACCTCCTCACAAAATCATGCAAGTCCTGCGTCGAGTCACAAGGTGCAGGTTGCATGTAACGACAACTCCTACCTCCCAACCTCGAGACCCTCAGAATGGTCTTGGTAAGCCACCAGTACTCCGCAGCGTGCTTCTCGAACCCCAGATCAGGCAAGCCCTTTCCTTCGCTATCTCGGCTTACTACATCCCAGAGCGCCTTCCATCGGTCGGTGGCGCGAAGCATCGGCTCTATGTTCATAGAAGCGAGGAAGTTCATTCTAGATGTCATGACGATAGATAGCAGTGCTATGAGAGTCAGCGCATTCATTATAGGATGGGCGATGTTAGGAACGGACCGCAGATGAGTATCAGCATATGTGGTGGTGAGATTGCTACTTCGGGCTCATCGGCGCGCTGTGCAACAGGAGAAAAAAGGGCGCGTGACATGAGTTCGGGTAACGTCTCGACTCGTGGTTGCGGAGGCTGTTGCGATAAGAGACGCGCGAAGTCGGCGGCCGACTCAGCTCTGAACAAACTCTCCTCGCAGGGGAGATCACCTATCGCCTCGCACATAGCAACTTGTGGGGTATTGTTGAAGAATACGGAGAGTGTGCTGTCGAAGAGGCAGGTCCACATGCCCAATCTGCGAGTGTTGTTAGTGGCTTTATGTACATAGTGTGGATGGGGTCATGGTACCTCGATCGCATCTCATCATCGATGAAACCCTGCCAGTCGTGTCCGTTCTGACTGGGGATAATGTGACGCTGTTTGTGCGCAAACAAGCCTGAGGCTCGCACAGCAGCGACAAGCGATGGAATGCGCTGGAGGCGGATTCGCCGTCTTGTGACGATGTCGTTACTGTTGTTTAGAAAAACCAAGAACAATAGACCTGCTTGTAACAACTGGAGATGCTCATCGTCGACCCACGCCGAGTGATCAGCTTGGGATGTCTGCTGTAACACCAGTTGATCGAAAACGTATGCCTCCGCAACGTGTGAGAACCTTCGTACGCCGATGGAGGTATCAGACTCCAGAGTGGGCAGCGACCCGAACAAAACGAGCGCGAGTAGAAGCGGGAAGGACACCGTCTGTATATCAAAAGTCGGCTTGTGCAGAATAGGAAACGAGTAGTGGAAGTAACGGAAGAAAGCCCGAACAAAGTGCCGCACATTGCCGACTGTAAAGACGGCTTCGGCCAGTTGATAGTCGAATGTTGCATCAACTGCATCACCACGTTCCAGCATCGAGCTGTGCTTGGCAGACAGCTGCTGTAGCATCTCCCTCACGCGTACTTCGAAAGCGTACGCATCTTCCAGTTCAGGAGTCAGACCATCGCTTATGATCGGAGACGCGTAGTCGACTTCTCGTCCAGATACCACGAACGGAAAGCTGAAGAAGACAGAAGGTAAATCTGCGAACTCAAAAAACGATTGGTCGTGCGTCATGTCTTGATCTGCATCGTGTGGCTGTACGTGCGTCTCGCCATCTGCACCATCGAGCTCAGCAGCCTCAGCGGCGATCGCAGCGGACGGGCGGTAACCCGAGGGATTCGTGAAGTTGAGGAGGAAGTCAATGGAGATGCCCACGCGCTGTCGGTCGGTACTGGTCTCAGTACCATCTTGGCTGCTTCCGACAGATGCAGTAGCACCTGCAGATACGCCGTCCAACCGCTTATACGTGCACACCGCGCCACCATCGCGACAACGCACACATGGCATTTTGGTGTCGCACGAAAGCTTGCGCTGTGAACATCTATCGCAGGAGTTTCGCTTTCTGCCGCGCCTTAGCGTGGGTAGACTCACGTCATTGCCGTGGGCGGAAGAGCAGTTCGACAAGTGGCGTCGAGCGAGGTCTCTGCATCTTTGTCAGCTCTTATCAAGCATATTCACCGAGAAATAAGCCCACCGTCGCGTAAACTGCGCGTGACATGACGGACATGTCAGGTCTTGCCTGCCGAAATCTAGGTATTGTGAGCTGCGAATAATCCATTGTGCAGGATGATGCTCACGTGAAGCTTCATGGCGGCGAAGATGGCTGTTGGTGGAATAGACCTTGTCGCATACCGCGCATTGATGCTTTGTGCGGATTGCGGGAGGCATGTAGTGCGCGTATGCATCTCGCACATGAACCCACGGGAAGGAGTCGGGAAGGAGTGGGTTTTGTCCCGTGTGGTGGTAGTGGATCTGCTAGCGTCCGCCCGATGCCGATGCGGCTGATCAACGTCATCTTCAACGCCTCGATATCTTGCAGGCACGATCGCGAGATACAAGCTTGGACAAGATATGTGTGTAATTGTATCGCCAGTAATTCCAGTCTGTGAGAAAATTGCTGAAAGTTAGGATGTACAATCAGGCCGTCTAGGCGATGATGCTGATTCAGTATCCAGGTATCTCATTAGAACATCAGCAAAGTATAACCCGATTCATCAATAAAACCCCTTCCTAGCCGTCCCCTTCTTCGTCCTATTCTCCCCCCAAATACAACAAACACTCAAACTCTCACACCACCCCTGCACCATCGTGCCCTCTAGTTCCTTCTCCACAGCAAACACCTCCGATCCATCGCCCTCCCTGCTGGGCCCCACACCCAGATGTAGCGCCTCCTTGTCCTGCTTCTTCAAATCCGCATTCCAGGCCTTGATTTGCTTCTGCGTAGCTTTCTTGTACACGCGGATGGGTGTGTGGGCGTTGAGATACGCGGTAAAGTCTTCGATGACGATGGGGTCGTACATGAGGATCTTCTCGTGCCAGGTAGGCTTGCTAGGGTCGGTGGTGGGAGGCAAAGACCGGATGTGACTTGTTATCTGAGCAAAGATCTGGGCTTTGATGTTCGGCCATTCGAGAAGCGGGGTAGGTATGCGGTGGATAGGTAATAGACTTGGATCGGCCGCCGAGTCTTTCGCTTTCGCCGTTTTGCTGGGTGAGACTGTCGGGGATAGCGTGATTAGGGACAGAGGTTGCGAGTTGACGTGTTTAGTTGTTCGGGGCGGCGTGGGGGAGAGGAGCTGCATGGCTTCGTCTTCGGAGTCGAGGATCTCATCTATGTCGATGAAGCGACCTGAGCCTGTGGGAGGGGTCGAAGGCATCTTAGTTCTGGTCTTTGACTTCGCGCGGGGCTTCAGGACTGGCGTCGATGACGCAGAGACTGATGTAGGTAATGCAGAACGCGATTTCGTTGGCCTTCCGCGCTTCTTAGGAGAGCCGTCCATGGGCGTTGGTGCTGAGGCTGGAGGTTTGAAGATCGAGACTGGCGATTTCCGCATCTGCGCAGAGGGCGGAAAGTCAAAGTCGTCGATGTCAACAAAGCTATCTGGTGAGACAGGTTTCTGACCGGAAGGTGGAGGCTCTTGCATGAAGTCGTCAATGTCCCTGAAGCCCGTATCTTTCATGTGGTCATCATCATTGCGAGACTTCGTTATTGGGGTGGCGCGTGAAGTGCTGGGAGGAGGCATTGGTGGATCAGAAGATATGGCAATTGGTGGCGGCGGGTCCGGCGGTATATCGTCAATATCTATGTAGTCAGACTGGCCATCGTCTTGCTCATCAGGCGCATCAGTAGTGCCATCCATAAGCAATGGGATGTCTTGTGTTCGGTCTGGCTTGGGTATGTAAACGTCCTTCAAGTGCTCCAGCATACCACCCTCGTCGTCGCGGGAACTCGCAGCCCACAGTCCGCGCTTGCCTTCCACCCTGCCGAGCCGTGACCATCGCGGCGGCGCGACATACGCAACATTGTCGGCGTCCCCCTCAGACTCCTTCAGCGCATACTGTAGTTGACGCACCATTGTCGGCGACTCTTCAAGCACAAGCTGACTTGATGTTCCGAACAAGACGTCCTGCTGCTGCAGACGCGACATTGCAGATGAAGGACTGAGCAACTTCTCCGCGATAGGCTTGGGCTTGGCGGCTGCTTTCGAAGATGCCTTCTTTGACCTCGGCTTAGGGTCTGCTTTCTCTGTGCCTGACTTTGAGCTGTTACGCCTGCGCACTGGCTTCTTCGGTGCTGCATCGCCGTCCGCCGCCGATGCATCGTTCAGCGGCACCTTGGTTGTAGTTGTCGAAGCTCGGGACTCGAAGAAGTTGCTAGTCGCATCGTCTGGAACTGGTTGTGCATCCTTCAAAGCATACTGCTCTGTAACGAGGTCGGTGATGGTGCGCGGTTTCTTCTTCGGTGCTTTCCCTTTCTCGGGAGATGAGTCTCTGGAGTTGGTGTTGTTGCTGGGTATCTCGACAAGCTCAATTCTCCGCCGCTTTGTCGCTGCCACGGCCCCTGCTGCGTTGTTCGATTTCGCAGCGTTCTGCGCAGATGGCGATTGTGCGTAGGCGAAATTGGAGAGGAGGTTTGTAAAGGAGCCATCCGCGTTCTGCGATAGGGTCTTGTTCTCCTTTCCGGTCGAGTCGGTGAACGGCGATGCGATCGTGGTCTCGGGTGGCGGCGTCCAGTCTCTCCTCCTTGCAACAGCCTCCTCCAACTCCAAACCTTGTGCGATGGGATCTGGCTGTCGGTGTTTGGGTGCAGCCTTCTTCTTCGGCTTTGGGCTGTCTGGCACTTCCCAGATTGATTGAGGCTTGGTTTGAGCGTCGTGGTCCTCTATAGAAGGCCGTGTTGCCGACTCCTGGCCTCCGTCTGCTCCACCCCCGAAATGCGCAGACACAAGCGACGCATCTCCCTGCTTGCCCGTCCCCGCCCCTGCTTTCGCCTTTGTGACCCTCGGTTTCTTTGGCTTTGGCGCAGGCTCCGTCCCATCTTCTCCAGTCTTGACCTTCTTCGCGCGAGGCTTACGGGGCTTGCCAGACTTGGTCAGCTTCGGCGCATCCGCAGCTGGTGCCGCAGGGTCGACCGAAGGTTCTGTCGCATCATCGTCGAAAAAAGGAGACTTTGTAGGTCGTTGCGGCGGAGGTCGGAGTTCGTCGTCAGAGTCAAGGATCTCTTTGTCCGACTTGGGTTTCGCTTTGCGCGCTCGAGGCTTCGGTTTGGGCTTCTCGGAGCCGTCTGCAGCGGTAGTAGTAGCTGGAGCCTTCTTCGTAGTCCGCTTCTTGGGTTTCTCCGCAGCCAAAGGAGGCTCTATGGTATCCTGTGAAGTCCGCCGTGGTTGCGCTTGTTGTATTGCATCGAAGTCGTCGTCGAGGCGGCTTGTGAAGTGCTCGGAGCGTATGAGGCTGCCCACGGTGGCGAATCCTCTGACAGCTCCCTCGGGGATAGGAGCAGCTCGTGCATTGCTCTTGGACGCGCCGGCCGTCGGTCTGAGGGGGCTCGCAGGAGGGGAGAATGCGAGAGGAGAGGATGCAAGCATGGCGACGCGACGGGAGGGGGCATCATGTAGCGGGGAAGCGGCCGGCGGACTCGAGGATAGCACCACGACGTCGTACATGGTATTGCCTGCCATTCTGAGGCGAGGAAGGGGCCTCCAGGCAGCCAGTACGGGCAGACGGAGAGGGGCAATCCATAGACTCGGCCTGAGGAGTTGGGGAGGGTGTGGTGTAGCGTGGCGCTGGTTGGTGAAGCCGAACAATGCACGGTCTTTGGGTCAACTGAAGTTCATTGCTGCAACACCAAAGTCTCCATCGCCAAATTCCCAGCCATGCCCCTCCACCACCGCAGCTCCCACATCAACCCCCTGCGATCGAGCTGCATTTCCCTGAGGAGCTCTACAAGTACTCGCAGATCATCATCATCGATTTGAATGATTGCCCCCGGTCGCATACAGCGCGGAAACCGCCTCCGCGGAAGTCTTCCAAAACCCATCGTAGCCTCCTGCCCTCCCCCCACCCTCGACAGCAACATGGGGCAGACTCGAAGCTTCAGAACACCTCCTTCATCCCGCTCAATAAGTCTGCGCGCTTGTCGCAGCTTCTGGCGTTGCGAGTGAGGTTCAGGACAGCCAGAGCCGTCGCTGCGAACCTCACCCGCTGAACGAAGACCTCTGGCATCCTTCTGCGAGCCTCACACAGCGAGAGGAGCTCCCGAAAGACTGTAGTAAGTGCCTCTCGTCTTTGCTGTCGACGTTCTTGACCTTCGCTGCCCCTCCCTGAACCTGCCTCCTCCGCCGCTACCCCGCCTCGAAGCTACACACATCACCCAGCATGGGCAAGAGAACGTGCAGAGACATTGCTAATGCTTTGACCTACAGACAACAAGCTGCTGCTGTTGTAGCCTCGCATCGGCAGCGACATCCTCTTTGGGTTGACTTCAAAGCTGCCTCCGACACACCTCCGTCCTCACCTCCGCTCTCACCTCCGCCGACAACCCTCAGCGACAAGCATTGCTGAAGCACTGCGCAAGAGCCGAAGTCCAAGCCCCCATGGCTGGCCCAAGGCTGGCAACTATCATAACGATAGTCCATCTCGCTGTCGATTTCCTGGCGGCATGATGCTGAGCCATTCTCACCTGGGTGGCAGTAGCTTGGCCATGCCGACACCCTCGCGGAGTGCCTGGTGAGAGCCGTCAAGCTTGACATTCGAAGCCGACCATCGATGCCTCACCTAGTACCTTCGGATCGGTACTCATGGCGGCCACCCTTTGACGCTTTCGTGACCCTCGCATGCCGAAGACGAAAAAGACTCGACGCTGTCACTCACTCGAAAGTAAGGCGACTCGGATCGGAGGAAGGGTCTCGGCCTACAACATACTGTGCGGGGGACTTGGGCAACCGCGAGGAACTCATGGAGAGGATACATACCAGCAAGAGACGGAGACTATGGGCATGCCATCGGAGCAC